GAGAATTTTAAAGATACCATGGACCGATCATATTACGAACGAAATGGTGTAGCCCAGAATAGAAAGAGACAGAGAACTTTTGACCACCATTAAAAGGCGAACGGCAGCATATTTGGGGCACATACTTAGAAATGATAAGTACGCATGAGTTGTTGCAGCTGATTATGAAGGGTAAAATCGAAGGAAAAAGGGGTCCTGCTACACGACAAATGGACCGGGTTACTCTTAAGAAAAGCAGAAGATGAGACGAATTTGGAATTGTTATAGCCAACCTTCATTAGTATAGATGCCACTAGAAGAAGAGATATATGTACATATTCTGTTTTTCTTATATACATTATAATAAATCGCAAATGCAACAATTTCAGTCCTTACCATTTTGTCAAAAGTTTTAAAATGGCCGAGATATTTAATTAATTTCTATAACACCAATCCACGAGGTCTTACGCTCGGGCCTTTATCGCATACGTACGACCTCAAATATTGATTTTAGCACAAAAATGAAGGTGCACAAAATTGTAACAAATACAATTCTCTCTATTTTTAGTAATATGCATTCATGTCGTAAAGTTAATAATAAACGAGATAATTCAATAATTATGCTTTCCCCTTCCACTATTTTCCCTCTAACTCGGAAAATATCGACTTCCCGAAAACAAATTGTAGGAAATCATATTTGCAACAACTGTAGCTCTTACAGTCGCGATTTTAAATTTACACTAATAATGATACTAGAAGGGGAAGTCTTTCACTAAGAGTCAATTTAAGGTAATTATTATAATTCAACGACCGCAGCATTCATGCTTTTTATGTGACACAAAAATGTCGCACAGTCGCAAAAAATGTAGGAACTACTGAGTGACACAACAGCTTGTCTCAAATGATGTGCGATATGATATATATTGTCATTTTGAGAAATATTATCGATATCACATTTTTGACAGATGTCAATAAATAAACAAATGATGTATTCGAGCGTTTTGCATAAAAGTTGAAGGCAACCATGATATAAGGAAACATGGTATGCTCACGCGCATCTATTTTGAACAGCCAATCGCGTTTACGACCAAAATCCGCCATTTTGAAGGCGGCAATTCAAATATGTACAAATTTGATAAAAAATATCGTAGCTAAATAAAATAAAATAAAATTAATATTCTACATTAATCCAATTAATTCAGATTTAAAATGATCTGAACAGACTCTTGCTAAAATAATTTAAAAAAAAATCGAAACAAATTTACTTTTAAATTCCAATACATTGCAAAATAAGGTTAAAAAATGCAAAACAAAGCAGACGTCAAGCATGTAGAGGTGGTTGATCCAAGTATTTTTGTGGATCAGGTCAAATTGATACGCGTAAACAAATATACCTGTTAAAAAATACTGGTTTGGAAATCAGTTTGTTATCATTCGTTTAATAGATATCTAAACATAACGACAACATTATTTGTATTTTGTTAGATTTCTTTATAGTTACTTAAATGACTGTTTAACTTCAAATACTTAAATTACTGTTATTCAGAGATTGTATAAAAAGTTCATAGAAAAATGGCGATAGTTTTGTCTACTTCGCGCCAATTGTCATCTGTTGATATTTATCTAAAGCTTTGTAAACGTTGAGAAATGCACGATAAAAATTAAGGACAAATGCAATGAAACCCGTACTCGTTTATTATAATATATTGGTGTTAGGGATCAGTTCCACAAGTATAAATAAAATACATGTTCCAAAGTAACTGGTACGGGATCAGGTCACCATCCCTACACGCATGTGACATATTCTAAAGATGGTGGATTTTGGTCGGCGCAGAAATGTGCAAAAACGAGTCCACCTAGTGAACATACCTTGTTTCCTTATATCATGAAGGCAACCAAATTATTAGAGACGGTTTATTCTTTTTTTTCACACTACCACCGTTGCACACTGTAGGCCCCTATTAGAACGGTGTTAGGGAATCGAACAAAAGTATTGGAATATGCTGACCGCCATACTAGCTTTAAAATCACGTATTCTTGTCACACGATCCAATTAAAAATCATTTTTCAAAACGTCCGCCATTTGTAATGTTTACATCATTAAAAGATCTAAAAGTTTGAAAAGGTTGAGCTATCAAAAAATTTATTAATATAAATTATATAGCCCAGAAAATAGTTAGTAAGGCTGACTTTAGATGCGTACCATATTTTCTCAGATTATCTGTAAAAAGGTCTTAAGGGGCACAACATATTTGTTAGCAATACCTAAAGTATAGGGGCTAGACACCTCAGATAAGAGCGGTAAACATGAACTTGTTCTTCTTCTTCACTTCGTCTTTTTGGCTAGCAAAAACTTGTATGAAACAAACTTGTATGCAAAAAGATGAACTTGTATGTGGATCGAATCAGTCAATAATATTATCGGAGCTGAAGTTGATTGTCCTTACTGACGTTTTCTGTGTGGAAGAGAAACGTGACAATAAAAATAAAAAAAATCAGTCTTTTAATATACGATCTACAGACGCATCTTAAAAATACTGTAATCAACTTAAATTATTAATAGGGAAATATTACCATTAAGAATAGACTGATACAATAAATTATTATAAACAATCGAAATGTTAAAATTACTAGAAGCATTACATAACAGTGAAATACAGACCAAGAAATAATCAGAGCTGGTCGAATATCGATGTTGAGAAGTTTTTTGGCATTGCTAAAGATATAAAAATATTCTAAATAATTAAAGGTCATTTACAATCTGATTTAATAACTTTAAGAAAATACAAAAAACCCGACAAATAAAAAAGTTCGGGTAGCAGTAGATAATGTAAGTTAAATGGCAATATTTTGCATAAAGGCAATATTATTATTATTTTAAAGTGTTATATACACAATGTAGCAACAATATAAATATATTGACGCATTTAAGATGTGAATTTATTAGAACAAAGTGGGGTTTAGAACTCAATACACAAAAAAGAAAATATCTCCCAATATGCGCAGAACTATTCACAGTAGAAGAATTATTTCGCGCAGCAGCCGACAGAGAAAGGTTTCAGGAAATTGTAAACATGATGACGGCCAATGTCTGAATACGGACACGGCACCCAAAGAAGAAGAAGGCGCAGAACTATCCAACATTCAGATGGACACAACCGAAATTGCATTCTGCACTGAATATACCTACCTAGGAATTGATTTCGACACCACAGGCACAGACAATAGGGAAATTAGAAAACGAATAACCCAGGCCCGTAGAATAATTGGATGTCTTAACGGAGTTCTTTGGAGCTCAAAAATTGGTAAAAGACGAAAATACAATATATATGAATCTCTCATAAAAACCAGCTTAACCTATAGTACAGAGACATGGAGACTAACAGAAAGTAATAAAAAAAAACTCGAAGCAACAGAAATGGATGTATTTAGACGATCACTTCGAATATCTAGGGTACACAGAATTAGAAACGATGAAATAAGGAATCGGATGGGGGTAGATGGATCACTGGCAACAGACATAGAAAAGAAATAACTTATATGGTATGGCCATGTTCAAAGAATGCCAGAAACAAGACTACCAAAAATCGCCATGAAATGGATACCACCAAATCGTAAGAAACGAGGAAAACCAAAAAGAACATGGATGGAGGGAATAACAAAGGCAATGAGCTCCCGAGACTTGACCGAAGAACAATGGAATGATAGAAATTCGTGGAAATTAGGCATCGGACAACGGCGCAAGACGTTTATTTATTACATATATTTATTTATTTATTAGAACATCCTCTAAAGCTGGATTTATATTTTGACGGACTGTAAACGTAGACGCACTGGAAAAAATCAACATAGAATTTTGTGTAATCTTATTTATAAATAAACGTAAACGCATGACAGAACGTAAGTGAAACGTACTGGAACGGAAGAGTTGGCCAACTTTCATCTTTTACAGCGCGTTACTTGCGTCTGGCCAATCAAAAGGAATAATTTTATGCTGTCAACCAAAGTGAACTGTCTGGACCGACCTCCATTTTGTAAAGTTGTTTATCAACATATTCGAATTTTGTTAATTATTGTTACACTAAGTTATATACCTTCGCGTATTTCATAATCCATTGTAACACGCAAAACGGACAAATATTATAATAAACAATAGTATAAATTAATAAACAGACAATTTGTTAATTTATAGTTTATGTTGAATGCCGGTTAATGTAACCGTCCAATATTTCAATCAACGATGCAACTCATATTGGTCAGCAACTCTAGCCGCTGTTTCTACTCATGCACATAAAATCCACTCTCTTGATTCATAAATTGACATATTATTTACAGTCCGTTTGTTACGTCTCTAGTGCGTCTATTTCTACAGTCCGTCAAACTATAAATCCATCTTACCTATTATAAGGGAAATACTACACTGCCTAGAGTAGGCAGTGTAGTGAATAGTCACACAAAAGAGCAGCCTACAGCGTAGGCAGCTCTTTTGTGTGACTCATTAATATTACCGTACATATAATACGGTGAATGGTACTTAATAATAGATTAAGTGTAAAAATATACGGGATCTACAGGTTACCGTCGAATCCGAACCAAGTATAGAAGAGCTATACAAGACAGATATAATTATATAACAAAATATATTAGACCAATCATGTAGTTTAATTTGAGAGACATTCATGAGACGAACTTTATACAGGAACGAACAAAATAAAAAGTTACCATTCTTGCCACGAGAAAATCTCTAGAAGAATAAAGATAAATATGGAGCAGCGAAGAGCGTCAAATCCAGAATAATTGTATAAAATAGAATAAATTTTGTGCAATTTTTACAACAGCTATTTTAAATCACTTAATTCAATAGTTTAAAAAAACAGTATCTAATTTTATGGACTAATCATCTTTTGGTATTTTAAAATATAGTATTAATATTTAAAGAAAAACATCGCTATCTTGTCTAATTAGCTCGATTTTCTGCCAACCTCTATAGTAAACCGGTAGCATCATGGATCTGCTGTTACCTAAATGTCCTATTGGTCCAGGCGGTTCCTCAATAGCTGTGGAACGCTTCAAGGCATTTCGTATAGGCCAGGAATTCACACGGAACTCTCTAGTCTCGGTAACAACGCTAAGCAATGCCGGATTTTTCACTGGCAGTTTCTCCATAACGTCGTCGTCGATTTCATCTTCATCTTCTTCGCTATATCTTCGTTGAATCAGGTTTTCCATGACCATATAATCACATTCCTCAGCGCTGCGTAAGTGTTCTTTTTCGAAGTTGAGGGCTATTTCAGGGTTGGACATTTCGGATGGATTGCGTTTTCGAGAACCTTAAAAAAATTAATATTAGTGTCTAGTCTAAATTTTCACATGTACACAGTAATGAATACTATTCAAGCAAATATAATAATTAAGATAAAATAAAACGTAAACTACTCAATATTGTAAGATAGTGCCACGAAATCTGAAAATAAAGGAATAAATAGAAAATAATTATATGTGCTCGTTACCTTTTGTTATTAGTAGATTATTTGTATTGTGTATTAAAGTAAAAAAACATAAAACGATAAAATGTATAAGTAACAAAAAGCTTTTTGACATGCACCTTAACCTCAACTAAACTAATAGTGTTAATGCCATAGACATATAATACAAATAAACTAACTGTTGCCATGCAGTTGCGTTTCCTCAGTACGACAGAGAAAACTGACGCAAACCTTTAACCCATGATACAATCACTAAGATACTGTGTTAGTCATAGTATCATGGTTTAACCCGTCCCTTTATCTCTTTCTACTGGGAGGAGTTTATCGACCACGTGACCTCAGTGGCGGCGCAATATCATAATTTTATGTGGGCAAGATATATTTTTGATGACAGATGTTTTAAAATAAAAAAAAAACATGTATCATTTCATTAATAAACTGGTATTCATGCAAAATCTAGTAAAACTTACAACCAACCTAAACATATTTAAGACATAAGACCTACCAACGTTAAAAAAACAATTTTATTTAAATATTACAGGAACAGAAATTTTTCACTTTTTATACTGCTGAATTGTTTAATTACGTGTTCGTAATCTAGTTTGGATGTTATATCATCCTCGAAAGCGAAAGACATAATTGCGACCTCAGAAAGTCTTTCCTGTGACATCGTCCTCCTTAAATAATTATTAGTAAGTTTTAATTTTGAGAAGCTCCTTTCAGCGGAGGCTGTACTAATTGGTATTGTTAATAATCTAATGACGATAAAAATGTTTTGGTATATTTCTTTTAAATTATTATCGGTAATGTATTAAAGCAACTGTTTAGGTAAGTTAGGTAAATTAAGGATCATTGTTTGTAATTCTTCATATAATTACGTCTATGTTTTGGGTGGCGACGTGCAGCTGAAATTGTTAGCTAGCGATAGGAACGCAATTTCAATTGCAGCGGGGATTTCTCGCAAGCAATAGCGAAGCAAGTACTTTTTTCGGTGCGTTCATGTGCTTCTCATTGGTCATTTAGGTCACGTGATCGATAAAGCTGGCAAATTAGAAAGAAATGCAGGGACTGCTTTACGTCAGTTTTCTCTGTCGCACTGGGTGAACGACCCTGTATTGCAACAGTCAGTCTATTTGTATTATATGTCTATGGTCAGTACTAGGCGGTTATTTATTGTTAAAAGTATTAATTTGAAGCTTAAGTTGTAATATGTTTTTGTTAAAATATTATTTAATAAAATATTCATCTGTAACAACGTACTTTTTTATACCTTATATGGGAATAATGAACTATAAAAGTGATAAAATATATTTTATATTTATACAAAATATAATTATCAATACAGAAAAACAATGGATCTGTTTGAGGTATTCTATTACGTAATTTAACACTTTTGATAACATCGTTATTTAACCCAACCTGCCGTAATACATCATCTTTCAATACTAGCTCTTGAATCTTGTTTTATTTGTAATGTTTCGGTTTTATTAACGAATAGCTCATTTCATTCATAATTAACATTATGTGGGACATTAAAGAGGTATGAGATATTTAATGTTGAGTTTTGCATCAGCGCAGGCTGTCTCATGAATGTTGCAGTAAGACAAGGCTGAACTATTTCATCTACTTTGTTTTAGAGTTATCTGGAGTACCTCGACTTTGCGACTAAACATGTGCCTTTTGGCGCAAAGGTTTACAGACATAAAACTAAAATTAAATGCATTACGAGACGGTAGAAGCAGTCGACTGTTTTTTAAATGTAGGAAGTAAAAAGTTAGTAAAAAATTAAAATAAAGAAAATAAAAGGTGGGGCAGAACTAATCATCCAATTCGAAAACGCTATAACTTTTGCAAATGGCGCCAAATGTCAATTCGGTTTTGACATTTGTGAAATAAACAAACAAAGGATACAGATCGACAAGCCACGAATCGGTTTACTCCGCAAGAGCCCGGCATAATTATTTCCATTTTTTTGAGCAATACTGTCGATTGTGTTGGCGTAGCCGCAGATTTCCTGGCCATCCCACACCAACTGGACAAACACTATATTTCCTGTAATTCTTTTCAGTACTCTTATCTCTGCCGTTAAAAGTAGCCTTTGTGTTGTGGCTGTGTCGGGTCTTGGTTCTGAGGCATATGTATTGGTCTTACACTGGCTTTATAAATTATTGACTTCATCTCAGTGTTAATTTGTCTCTTCCGCCATATAAAGCATCCTGCCAGTATATTTGCTTTTCGTACTTGATTTCAAACTTCTTTGTCCAGGTCTCCATAGCTGGGCAATCTAATTCCAAGGTATTTTATTTCCATTACTTCTTCAATACTAATGCCATCAATTTCTATTTTACATCTGATTGGCACTTATGTTAAATCAGTGGACTAGTCTTTGCAGACTATCTTCATCTTGGACTATCAAGATTGCGTCAGCTGCGTAACAGAGTATTTTTACTTCTTTGTTCTCCATTCTGTATCCTCTTCCTTTGTTGACATTTTTGATGATTTCGTCAATGATTAAATTAAAGAGCATAAGGCTCACTCAGACTCCCTGTCTTATCTCGTTGGCTATTTTTATAGGTTCTGTAAGTTATCTGTCTATTCTGACTTCTATTTTGTTGTTTTGGTAGATGTTTTCAATAGTTTTTATGATATTTAGGGGAACTTCTCTATTATACAGAAGATTAATTACATCTTTGAGTCTTACTCTTTCAAAAGCCAATCAGACATAGAAATGCTGGTCTATTATACTCTAGTGATTTCTCAGTAATTTTCTTAATGACCAATATTTATCTGTAGTAAAATGTATTATTAATACAAGGTCTCCGTTTTCATTTCTGCTTTTTCATCATATCGCTGTTTTATTCCTGGAACTATATCATTGTCAACACGGACGTTAAAATCACCCATAAGAATTATATATTCATCATTTGGGGTCTCCTTTATTAAACTCTGAAGCTGTTCAAAGTTTTCTCTTGTGGTGGTATCTCGGTTATCCTCAGGTGCATAGATTGTTATCACCTTCAGAGGTTTGACATCCAGTTTAACTTTTACAGTAGTTGAAGCGAGAAATAAGCAAGACAAAAAAGACACATGGCAAGAATAAAGAAGAAAATATGGACAAAATATGGTTTGGAGAGGTAAAGGAAGAAGAGGACAACCAAAAAGAAGGTTAAAAAGGTTAAGAGCAATTAAAGATGATCTACAAAGAGCAGGTATTGTAAAAAGTGTTCTCTAATAATTTACAATGCAATGTATAACGAGAGTATTGTACAATTTTGCTATTTTATTGCAGATTATTTGTTAGTATTGGAGAATAACAACTTTCTGTCATTATTTGTCCTATTACGAATTTCATGTTAAAGTTATGTACATAAAATGAACTATTTGAAATTTTTGTCGTACGTTAAAAATACTGACATGTTAGGTTCAAGTATTATACTTTAAAATTTGTCTTAAAATGTCGATGTTATAAGGTTGTTAAAGACGGGGTAAGTTATTGTTCCAGTTATCGGATATTATTCCCATATAAGTCATTATGATAATATCTATTTTACTTATATTTTTCTGAGTTGCTACAATATTCTTTTTCTAAATTTCTTCTAAAATCTCCCATATATAATTTAATAGGTATCAACAATTTTTTTAAATTTTCGTGAACCCTATATAACCTGTCACCATTTTCTCGACTAGTTACTTTTCATTACAATATTCCTCTTCTTTCTCTTATTATTTACTTTTTCTTTTTGGCAATGTAATTTTATAAGTAAAGACACAGGAAAAATATTTTATTTTTTTAATTTTTTTAGTGATTTCTTTTCTTGGTATTGTTTTTGTATTTCATTGCAATTTTCTTATATGTTTTTCCATTACTTTATTTTTACAGTTTTTATCGTCTCTTATTTGGACGGTCTCTCTTGATGTTTTTAAAAAAGCAAAACTCCATGAGGTTTATATTAATTTTCTTGCCTAGACTTATTAGATTATCATTGTTTGATTATCCTTAAATTTTTTGTTTAAATGTCGATGAAATATTTTAAATAGTGGTAGTTCCAGTTAAGTAATTTAAGTTAATTAAGTAAATAATATTTTCTTCTATAATTATAGAATAAAATAATTAAAAACTATGATGCGCATGTAAAGATCTACTCTACTACTTGTTTGATGATGGACTACAAAAGCACTGAACAACGTGTTCGACATAAGATTAAATAGGTTTATAAGGTGTGATAATTTTGGGTTAGTTTAAAACCATCAAAAGCAAGCTACAACCAAAGCACACACTTTGATAAAAATGAACATTTTGAGTATTGCAGTAGTTGCAAAGCATGTAAATGCCAAAAAACTTTACAAAATCTGAAAAATATTTATTAATAATCAAATTTATTTTATAGTTATTATATTTATTTTTCTCGGCTTTTTAGTTTTTATACATTTTGATGATGCTGGGCATAGTTCGTCTATTTATTTGATGACCACTCCTATTAAAGTGATGGATGTTTTTTATCCGGTAACTACATCCGGGTTGACTTAGTATTCCGTGTGTGACAGTTAATACTGTTAATTACAATAACTACTCATTATTCGATCTTAACTATTATTCATTGTACCTACATTCGACAGTCGTTAGAGTAGTAGGTCAGCTTAAGAAATGTTTAAGGTAATGCTTATCTCTTTAGATTACCGTGGATCTTCCAGAAATTCTTTAGAAACAAACAGAAAGTAGTGGGGAGATTTGGAGAGGATGGACAAAAGGATAACGGAGAACATCTGATTGAATTATGCGAACTAAACAACCTAAAAATCACTAACGGATTCTTCAGACATAAAAATATTCATAAATATACATGGACGCAAGAAACACGAAAGCTGAATTTATAATCATCGATACTAGATTACATAATAATTAAACAAGATACCACAATAAAGATCAAAGACGTGCGAGTCAGAAAAGGAGCAGAATGTGGTACGGACCACAAATTACTGACAGTAAAAATGGGCATTAATTGGAAACATAACAAGACCCCCTCTACAGAAGAACCGTTGAACACTATAGGAGAAAAACAATACAATATGAAACTATTCCAAGAATAATCAATAAGAGAACTATACCAACAACGTCTAGGCCAAAAATTAATAGAATTTAGATACGGCACATCGAAGAAATACACTAGCATATAAAGGCGAGTGTAAAACAAGCAGCATTCGAAGCCCTTGGAGAAAAAGAACGTATAACAAATAAACAGCACTATTATGAAATAAATGAACCAACAAAAAGAATAATTGAAGGAAAAAAGCAACTATACAGAAAATGGCTGACTACAAACAACGATGAAATTTATAAATAATATAGAGAAAAAGATAGAGAAGTGAAAAAACAAATAACACAACAAAAGAATGAAGAATGGGAAAGAACCTGCTTAAACATTGAAACATAAATAGGAGGTACAAGAACTTCTGAGTCATGGAAAGTACTGAGAGGATTGAAACAAAACTCAAAAGAAAAAATTAAATTGGGAAATATACAGGACAAAGAATGGAAGGGCTATTACAAGGAACTGTTAACAGAACAAAGACCACAATTCATTGGAAAAGAAAACAGGCGAAGACGAAGCAGATCCCCACAACAAGAAATAGAAATAACAGATAGGGAAATGAGAACGCCCATGAAAGCAATCAAAAATAAGAAAGCACCGGGATCTGGAGGCATCTCACCCGAGCTTATAAAATAATGCTCAAAAAAATTACACCGGATGATGCAATTAATAATTGCACCGGAGGAAAAGAGGACGAAACCGAAGATCCTCGAGGAACGAAGTAGATGATGCCATGAGTAAGAGAGGCCTAAACGATGGAGAATGGGACAACAGAGAGAGATGGAAACGGTTGAGCAAGGGAAGGCAGTGAATACTGTAGAATCCCTGGATATATATATATATATATATATATATATATATATATATATATATATATATATATATATACTTAGTTATCAGCTCTTTAATCTGGTTAAGAACATTATTTGTTTGCAGACTCTTGTAGAATGTACAGGCTAGCATTTATCATAATTTTTGCTAGCTTGGCCTCCTTATGCCAGTGAGCTGTCAAATAGCTCATCAGTACTACTAAGTTTTCTACATTTTATAACATTTTTTATTGCTTAAATATTACATTATCGATAGTATGAAAATTAGACAAATACCAAACTATTAAAATTATATTATATTTATATTTAAATAACGACTTTGTAACTTTTTGTATTTTAACATATCACTCTTCTAAATTATCACACGTTACTCAACCGTACTTAATCTCTTAGATCACCTCCAACGATGACCTAAACTTACTTGGAGGTGACTGTTCAGGTCTGGGCGGACTAAGCAGTCCTGGCGATCTAGGAGGACTCAGAAGTCCACAGACGGATTCCAATTCGTCAGTAATACTGGTGTATTCAGTATGCATATGCATAAGTAGAGCCGAACGACTACTAGCAGGCGGTATAACTTTAATTTTAGGCTCAGTAAATGTTACAGATCGTTCTAAAGATATAGTACTCGACGGCAAGGTAGCAGGAGGTTCGCACGGATCCGGTTCAGACTGCGTTTGAGAAAACTGTCGCTTGGGTAGTGTAGGTTTCAGGGGTTGATTGTCGTCACCTGAGAGGATATGTGTTAGTTTTTCTACGCAAAAAATTATGACCACTGTCAAAATATTAGATAACTTCTGTTTGGATTATTAACCAACTAGTTAAAATTTTGTCAAACAAACAGTATTTGAAATCGGTTTTTGTTTATGTAATCCAACATCAGAGTTTATCTCTTTAGATAAAGTGTTGACAGCTGCTTTTAGAAAATATTGAAAAGCTAGAAACTGGGATTTTTTGTCAATATAATTATTATTTAGATAGATATAAAGTTTTTTTTTTAATTTAATACAAATATATTAACTTTTTAAAATATTTTTACTGTACAATGTTATTGCCTTTTACAAAATTGTTGGTGCAAACAAAATTTTTAACTGTTTATTAAGTTATTATATCGGTTGTTGAAAAGCATAGACATATAATACAGAATAGACTAACTGCTGCAATACAGTCGCGGTCCCCCAGAACGACAGAGAAAAATGGCGCGAAGCAGTCTCTGCATCTCTTTTTAATCGACCGGATTTATTGACCACGTAACCTTATCATTGGTCATTTAGGTCACGTGTTCAATAAACCTGACCAATTAGAAAGATATGCAGCGACTCCTTTGCGTCAGTTTTCTCTGTCGCCCTGGGGGAAAGGGCTGGTATTCCAACGATCAATCTACCTTGTATTATATGTCTATGTTTACTCCAGTCGTCAAATGCCACTAAACCTCTAAAAATTATAAGAACAAGCTGAATTTTACTAAGAATGTCAATTTTGGGACTGACAAAATAGATACAAAAATTTTTAGCACTTTCACCTCCGGCTTTCCCCTAAAACTCCTCGCAGTAGGGAGAAAAAGCTGAAAAAACCGTTTTACCAAGAATCTGTAAACTGCAAAAAAATGTAGCCTAGATAATTTTGAATAAAAATGTTTATTAGCATTTTTTCTGTAGAAGGAACTCTTCTCTTAGAAACAACGCTTGAAGCAACCGGTGATTTTCAGTCTCAGTAAATGGTAAAAATCGCTAAACACCCTTTAAAACGCATTTTGCTTTTTGTCGATAGGACAATTTTATCAAAAGATATCCAATTTTCACCGTCGAGTTGAAATAAATTTTATTTAAAATTAATTTCACGCGCATACCCGACATTGAAAATCACCGGTCGCTTCAAGCTTTGTTTCTGAGAGAACGACCCATTCTACACAAAAAAGTGCTAATAAACATTTTTTTTAAATTTTCCCCGCTAAATTTTTTATTTGAAACAATTTTCTTGTTCTTGGTAAATCGATTTTTTCCGTTTTCCCCAACCTACGAGGGGGAGTTTTAGGGGGTTTTCCATAGGCTAAACGTGGTAAACTTTTTTGCATATTTTTTGGGATCTTAAAATTGACATTCTCAGCAAAATTCAGCATGTTCGTATGATTTTTACCCTGGACTTTTATTAAAAGTTATTTTAGTTAAATTTGATGAAACTTTGCAGTTGGTCAAACATTCTAATTGCCACAAGACTCAGAAATCAATTATTTTTGAGTTACAGAGGTTCAAAATATAGGTTTTTAGTCCATTTAAACAGTACATATTTGTATAATATACAAGGTAAATAAGTACACCAAACTTCCGAGTATATCTGCATGACAAACATGAAAGTTTACTTTGTAAAGTCCGCAAATTTGGTGGGTTTTAAGGGGTAGTTATTACGGACTTTTGACATTGAATAAGTGAATAGTGTTATTAAAAAAAAAAAAAAGAAAAATGGTACGCCACTGAGATATTTTAAATTAAAAATATTTTTGAATTTTTGTGGTAATTTGTGACAAAAAATCTTTCTTGCATTTTTTTCATGTAGCGAAGCATTTGCTACATATTTCATGCATAATTACTCCCCAAAGTCTGTTGCACTTATTTACTAAAACCTTATACAGTATGATGCAAATGTATGGAATAAATTCATTATTTCACAAACAGACGTCTTTAAAAAAATCTTAAAACACGACAATTTTAATTTTTTAATGACCATCAACTGCTATATACGTGTTGAACATTACGTCATCAGTGTCGGCGTAATGACGTAATCGAAGATTTGTTTAAATACAAAATACAAATACGCGACGGCTCATTTGAAAGGTCTCCTTATCGACTTTGCAACGATATAATCATTTGAATATGTATTCTACACGGTTCACCAATTCACCAAAATTATGAACTTTGTTAAGTAATATGGAGTTACAATAAATATTCATTCACTGAACTAAAATAAACTCAGGAACGCCACTGGGAATAAAACAAAATAGTGTTTTTTACTGGTTCCGAAAAAAATACATTGACAACAAAGAATGCTACATGATAATCTGAAATTAATTATTGTAATAAGTATTCCAAGTTATTTTTCAAAATATTTAAATCAATATTGCCATTGTCTTAATTTGTCAATGATGTGTGAATCTACCAAATAATAGAAGTCAAATTTTTACTCTTCGAGTTTTTTGTCGACATTAATAAAAGAATTTCCGAAAATGAAACTAACAGAAATAGAACGAATCGAGATTTTAATCATGATTGGTTATGGAGACAGAGTGAGGACTCCAGCAGAAGTTTAGCAGACTCAATGCTAAATACCCCAATCTCGAACCAATTACTCAATCAACAGTAAGCAAAATTGGAAAAAAATAGAGAAACAGTCCATGTTAAAGATCTTACCAGAAGTGGTAAAAAATCAATATCAGAAGCCAAGAAACTGGACGTTGTACTGGCGTTTCAAGAAAATCCCCATACCAGTTCTAGGCAGGTCGCACTAGATAATAATGTCCACCAATCAACTGTTGTAAGAGTGCTAAAAAAGGAGAAGTGGCATCCATACAAAGTACATCTGGTTCAGGAGCTATTAGAAGATGACTTTGATAGAAGAATCGAATTCTGCAAAACCGTTATGGACAAACGTAACAGAGATCAGGGTTTCATACAAAAGGTACTTTTTTCTGATGAAGCGTCTTTTTTGTTGAATGGTCACGTAAATCGCCAGGCATATAAAACTTAACTGCTTCTCGTTATCTATTTCTTTAGAATTATCTGCTGCCACAGCTGAATCAGCTATGACCAAATATAAATAATTTGTGTTAACAACATGATGAGGCTCCTCCACACGAAATAACGTTTGCCCAGGTAGGTGGATATGTAGAAGGGGGCCCATCGAATGGCCACCAATGTCTTCAGATTTGACTCCGTTAGACTTTTTTTGTGAAGCTATTTAAAGAGCAGAGTGTCAAAACAAACCGAATAATGTAGAAGATTTGTTGAAGGAGTGCATCAGAACGGAAATGCACAACCAACACCTGAAGTCATCGAAAGCATTAGGAAAGAATTGATTGCCCATCTTTCACATAGTATTATTGCTGAAGGTCGTCAATTTGAACATTTGTTGTAATTTAATTGTATTTAAGTAAATATTTATTGTAAGTTAATTGTATTAATAAACCAACAGTTTTGTTTAACCCTGTAGAAATAAATATTCAAATAATTATATTGTTGCAAAGGCAATAAGGAGACCTTTCAAATGAGCTATCGCGTGACCTAGGTTTGTATTTAAAAAAATTGTCGATTACGTCATTACGCCGATACTGATGACGTAATATCCAACACATATATAGCAGTGGATGACCATTCAAAATTAAAATTGACGTGTCTTAAGATATTTTTAAAAAGTCGTCTGTTTCTGAAATAATGAATTTATTCCATACATTTGCATCATACCGTATATTATACAAATATGTAGGTAACAATAAAACACTGAAAACTTTGTTTTCAAACTTCCACAAAATTTATTTTAAATATTATCACTACAGCTGTTTCGGCTGATTGCCTTTCTCAAGTGATCTATTTTGGCTTGGGTTTACAAATTTATAGTCTCTAATGAAATAGGTTGAGGAGGGGAGAACTGTTTGTCTCAAGTTGTGTAGTCTCATACAGATGTGTGTAGTGAAACTAAGAATTCCTCTTACAAAGAGAATAAAACAGCAATTTCAATTAAAAATAAATCAATAGAAAACAACATTGTGTTTACAAAAGCAGACAAAGGTAACACTACTATTGCTATAGATAAAATAGAATATAATATATACATATATATATATATATATATATATATATATATATATATATATATAGAATATAATATAATATAACAAAACAATAGAATTCTTAAATAATCAAAATATTGAAACTTTACACAAAGATCCGACAGAAAAATATCAAAAACAAATTAAGCTAGCGTTAGAAAATTCAAAATCAATACTAAATCCAATAGAACAGAAATACCTCAGTATCATGAACCCACAGCCTCCTAAATTATATTCTTTCATTAAACTACACAAACCGGATCACCCAATAAGACCTGTAGTTTCTTTTTATACAGCTCCGTCATATAAAATTTCAAAAAAAACTGTTAGAGATTATTTTAGACCACACTAAATTTTCACCTAAATTTACCATAAAAAATACAATAGAACTAGTTAATAAAATACAACATTTTCAATTACCTAACAACTCCAGATTAATTTCATTTGACGTAAAAAATCTTTTTCCTAGTATCCCTCCTACAGAAACTTTTATTCTAGTAAAAAACCTTTTAGACCAAAATAGTACAAATCCAATAATTACATCTGAAATTTTACATCTTCTTCAAGTTTTCATAAACTAGGACTACTTTGAATTTAATAATAAAATTTATAGAAATAACAGTGCAGGACTTATAATGGGTAATCATCTAAGCCCATTGCTATGAGATATTTTTATGGATCATCTAGAGACAAAGATTTCAAACCACCCCGTATTCAAACAGATTTTATATTGGTGGAGATACGTAGACGACGTACTGGTATGTTTCACAGGAACTAACAGGCAACTCGACCAATTTTTAAAAATATATTAATTCACTTCATAGTCATATTGAATTTACAATAGAAACAGAACAAAATCAATCCATAAACTTTTTAGATTTAAAAATTAGCAGACTTCAAAACAAACATGG